CCTTTCAAAGTGTGAAGATTGACAAAGCCTTTACTCTCACCAACTGCAAATATACAACCAGCCTTGTCAGAGTAGGTTTGTAACATCACTTACAACAGCAAGATTTTTTTTTTAACCTCCTAAACACACACACTCACACATGCATGCTTACCCCACACAGATGCACACACACAAGTGCAAAAAAATAAAAATCGGCTTTTCCCAGGAAACACAGAAAGGCAATAAATAAAATGATGGGAAAGGCATTTATGTTTTCCCTCCCTGGAGAGGCAATAGACAGAGGACACGCGCGGGGTGATTTCATCCTGTCCTGGAAAACAAGCAACATCTTCCTTGGGCTGTGCAGTTTATGGCCAAGTCCTGCACAGGGCTCAGGCACTTCACAACAGAGCCAACACCGCAGCCTTGTGGGCTTAAATCACTGCAGCACTGTGCTGCCAGCCGCCCTCTGTGGAGATGAAGAACAAGCAATTGTAAGAGAAGATATTGCTAAAATAACCATTTTACACTGCCCTGGTGCCTACTTTCTGAGGACTTCATAACTTGTTACTGATAGAAATTACTTATTCTTTGCAGCCACACAGAAGGATCTTTAGAAAGTTGGACGCAGACGTGTTTAGATTGGGATTTTCAAAGTTTTTGGAGCATCCCTCCTGAGCCTGTGGAACCACACAGACTATGAATGGGCTTCAGTGACTGAACTCCTTGGATGATTGGATGCAGAATTAATATTTGTGTATGAGTTTACTGTCCTGCCCTAGAATTCATTTTTAGCATTGCAGTCATCTGAACTAAAATAATTCCGCAGAAAAAACCCTTTTTTCTTTTCTTTCCCAAAGAAATTCCTTCTGTGCTATCATTTTCTCTACAGCAAAAATTCAGGCTAATAGAAAATGTTGAGCAGATTTTTTTTGTTTGGCATTGCCTTAGCAGAGTGGAGGGATTAAACTGGTTGCTTTAGGAAACATCAGCCCAGTCTGTCTGCCAACAAATTCTACCTTGGAAATTCATCTGCTTTTGTTTGGTGAGCTTTTTAACATGGTCGGTGGGGCATTGGCTTTTGGATTTGTTCCACTGCTTCTGTTCTGCTACTTCCTTCTGCTTTTATTAATAGAATAGCACACGACTCCCTGCTCCTCAGACTCCATGATCTATCCCACTGTGCTTTCAGGCAAAAACAGGTTTCCAATGCTTTTCTCACATTTTCAAAAAGCCCTCTTGTTATCTCTTTCTATGAGACAAAGAAGTTTCTACATCTCCAATGTGAAGCTCCAACAGGCCTTGCTTGTACATACACATGTCCATCATACATTTCATTTGCATTTCTTTCGAGGTGCTTCAAGAATGAACACACATATTAAAAAAACATGCAACTCACAGTTTGCAAACTGCCACGTTCTTCCTTTGCTTGTGTTACATCCATCTCACAAATTCTCTGCCTGATGTGGCTGTTAGAATTGCTAACGCTCTGTGATGAGGACTGCTGCTGTCATTTTGGCTGTGTTTACCCAGTGCCCCTCACAGCAGGGCTCACTTCCCCACTACGGCCCCTCACACTACAGCATATGCTAATAAATAACAGGAGAACAAAATACTTCCCTCTCTGTGGCAGCAGAATTGTAACAATCATGATAAATACACCAAGGACTAGGAATGTTCCCAGAAGCTGTAAGAAAAGAAGCAGTAATTTATTGCAGGTGCTAAAAATACATTATATACCTGTGAATACAGGTGACCATCACTTGCTCAGGCAACCAGTGCTGTCCTTGGAGAGGAAAGACCACAAAGGTCTCTTTCTGCCATAGAGCAGCAAACAGCAAAGTCCTCCCCAAGTTCTGGGGGGCAGGAACTGACACATGCTTGCATTTTACTCCACAACAGAGAGGAAAAGCAAAGGTGGCCTGAAATACAATTAAATGTACTAATAATTAAATAATATCCTATTTGGGTTTCTGGATGGATCCAAAATGTTTTAAGTAATTTTTTCTATCAGGTTCATTATTACCCTTACACTTCATACAGCATTGCCACATTCTTCCTGTTTAATTTTATTTATCCCTTGAGCAAAGTCCCCCCTCTGGTACATCCCTTTATGTGCCTGGTCCTGCCCCATCTCTCTCCCCTGCACCCATTGGCACTTTCTGCCACTCCACAGCCATTGAAGCAGAAGGACTGGAGCTTTACCCCCCAGGGCAGCCAGCTGCTGGGGGGGGCACAGACCCCTTTGCACATGTGTATAAATGGAATCAGCTGCCCTGCTGTCAGAGCTCCCCAAGTTTCCAGGGCGCCTGATCAAGCCACGTTCCCTGGGTTATTCACGGATGCTTTCTCAGGAGCCTAAACGGATCAAGATTTTTTTAAGGCTAATAGGGCAGCTCCAGTTTCCATCAGCTGAGGATGAGGCCAACAACTTGCTTTCATTAGCTCATTTGTTTTTGCCAAGAGAGTAGGCAAGGCATCCTCTCCCATCCCATCCCCCATGAAACTCCCAGTTCAGGATTTGCATGGCAAAGAGGTGGAACCCAAAGCAGCAAGAATGCCCGCTCAGCTCCAGTTCTCCCAGTCCTCCCACCCCACACAGGGAAACATGCAGCATTACAAACTCTGGCAGCTGGGAGCATCTGATTATTTGTATGGAAATTTGCTCCAAGTTGAGAAGTGGATCAATGACTATTTCTCAAGCTGGCTCCATTTTGAGGACCAAAATTGACTTCTGGAGAAGCTGCTTGATTTCCCAGCTCTCCCCCACCAGAAAAGAGATTATTGCATAGAGCAGGGATGATATAATTCAACTCCAAATAGGTTTGGGGCCTATTAGACCCAAATATAAAACTCACCGAGGCTCCAAGGAAAAGAGAATTGCTCTGTGCTTTACTCTTCCTTGCCAGGCCTTTACTCCTATCTCTGTTCGGTGTAAATCCATTTGCTTATATTCAGCACTCCACACAGATGGAAATGGCAGTTCAGGACATAACACAGGAGAGACTCATTTCGAGCAATTTAGTTCTCCTCCTTTCCCAGCTCCCCAGTTTGCCCTATTTCCATTACCCAACTGTGCCACTTCTGCTGTCTATATAGCATCACTGTCTGCCCACATCTCTCCTTTTTCTTTTTTCTTTTATTTATTTTTTTAACCCTTGAAAATACTTTTCTTTTGCTTTCAGGCTTTTCCATTCTGTGTCCCACATGTCTGGGTACACCCACCGCACACCCCCAGTGTCAGCACCCTCCCTTCCCCTGCCCAGTAACTGTTGGTGCTCTTTTGGCACTGTGTTTAATTCTGGAGAAATTTGGCTCACCTTTCACTATGTAGCCTCATACCATTCGGAGTGAGTTTTAATTGAACATTCAGATTATAAGAGGCAGTGTGGTGTTGAAGCCTTCTTATCACAGCTGAGAGATGTGCCAAACACACAGAGAGCTTGTCCTGCTCAGCCTGGGACAAGCAGCACCTTTCCAATCTGTCCTCAAAGGGGAAATTATGACTTTCCCTTCTTCTTCCCTTCCCTCTCAACCTGGCCTCTCCCAAGATCAGGATCAGCCTGCAGTACACATTGTGCTGCAGGAGATGCCACGCTCTATGGAAGATTTATCATGAGCTGTGCCTCTCTCTAATTCACAGTCTCAGCTAGAAAACAGGTTTTCAACACAGTGACCACTGTTAGCTATGCATTTTTGCCAGCAATGATCAAGAGTCTGCTTGCCACTTTCTTAACAATCTGCACCTGCAGAAGTGACCTATTGTCACTGTCCCCACTGCTGAAACACACCACATCACTGAGTTTATATCCACTGTTTGGTCTCCACAAACGTTCATCAAGCATTGATGAATGTCAATGAGTACATTTTTTTCCTCATGAAGGAATTCAGTGACACAACTTTGCATCACCCACACTTCCAAGTCAAACACAGTATTGTCAGACTGCCCCTCTGCTGCCACCTGTTGCTCGCCAAAGTCACGAAATGTTGTCAGGAAAGGTTCAACCTCTACTGCCATACCACCATCTGCCTCTGATGTCATGGGCTGACACTAAATAGGATGCATTTGTATAGTGGGGTGGAGTTCCATTCTTTACTAACTTGGAGAAGTTTTACAGAAAGTTATTGACACAAGTCACTCAAACTCCTAGGATAAGTCTCAGATTTAGATTAGGAGATTAAGTTTACCACATAAACGCAGAAATTAAAGAATTCTGCCTATTTCTACCCCAGCTGCCAGAAATGAAAAACTCAAGTGCAGGAGGGCTCAACTGCAATATTTGATTGCAGTTAAACCAGAAGCTCAAGTAGGACACCATGCTGCTATCCCAGTCAGTTGTTTGCTTGCTAACTAAAAAACAAGCAAGAGAAAACAGCAGTCATTTCCATCAACCGATCAGTCAATCAGTGCTTTCTTGAAAGCCTGCATTCCTTTGCTGTGGAATGGTTAGAATGAGTTTACTAGCAGCAAGGTAGATTACAGAATCACAGGATGAATCAGAATGGCCTGGGTTGAAAAGGACCTCAAAGATACCCAGTTTTAACCCTCCTGCTATGTGCAGGGTCACCAACCACCAGACCAGGCTGCCCAAAGCCACATCCAGCCTGTCCCTGAATGCCTCCAGGGATGGGGCATCCACAACCTCCTTGGGCAACCTACTCCAGTTGTCACCACCCTGCAACAGCACAACAGATTCAGTCAATTGAAAATCTGCTACAGTGTATTAGATCAGAAAAATAGTAGCAGTTACAAGGGCCCTTCAGTAAGGAGGCAGGAAGAGAGAAAGGGATTCAGTAGGTCTTACACAAAACCAGGAGATTTGACTTGTAAAATCAGTATTTTTAGGAAATATTACTAGCAGTGATGAAAAATGAGCATGAAAAATTATGGTTTAAGATGAAAAACAAGAAGTCCAGAGTTACTAATCAACTTGTGGAAAACTCATTTATTTTCACATTTACAAGACAAAAAAATATTTAACTTATTTACAAATATATACAAATACTAAAATGCATCTTATTATTTTGAAATAAACTGGCAGTATTTTTTTAGCAGTATTGCCAAGACACAGTACTTCCCTTTTTTTTTTTTTTTTTTCAAAAATAAAAAAAGATAATAAAGTGTTTCACCACATTTCTAACAAAACATCTGTAGATCCTGAATGAAGGAAGGAAAAGAAAACTTAAGATTCAAGTAATGCAAGCCATCAAAGAATATGGTATTATTAACATTCACAGTTTAAAACTCAGGGAAAACCTTGAAAAACTAATAAAATTTCGAGTCCTACACAATTTTATTTTAAAAGAGACTTCACTCACCTCATCTGACATTTTCACTAGAAGTGTTGTTAAAAATCTGGAAGAACAAGAGTAAGTATTTAAATAAAACACAGTTTAGGCTTCCTCCTGTTAACAATTCAAGAATGGCTCATACTGGGCTAGGAAGATAACTTGCCAAAACCATTTTTTTTAAATTCAGTACTTTGGTGAGGAAGTTTGGAAGTCTTCAAACACTGAGGACAGAAGTCATCAGGGACAATATTTAAAATGTTATTAGAACCCACATCCAGAGTTTTCTTTTAAATTTGAAATTAAGACACTTCAAAATAGTTATTTCTGAAAACTCCTAGGAATGCAGAAATGACCAAATAGCACAAGGGAATCATAAAATTAACCTTTTTTTTTTTTTTTTTTAACAAATAGCACAATAGCAGAAAGCATGTTTTGGTTTGGTTTTCTTCATGGAAGGATTAATGTCCTAAAAACCCTTTGTGGCACATCTGACAATATATATGTCAGGATGGATCACAATCGACGCAGATTCTGCTTGCTTTTCTTAGTCCCAGGGAGGGTTCCCAGCTTAAAGCTTGATTTCACTGGTTTGCCAGTCATACAGTCACTGGAGCTGTGGTAGCTGCACATGCATTTTGTACAGAAGTCAAAGCCACAACTTTCACGATTGCACATTGCTCTTTGCAGATAGGAGTCGTACTTTGCAGGTGAGCCACAGCGATTGCAGACTTTGAAGCTTTCAGTGTTTTTCAAGGTCTTGGCTGCCTAATGGAAGAAATACATAGTCATAAACGGAGGGTAAACACACACTGCAAACATTCCCCGACATCATTAATGTGCCACAAAATAAATCATGATTGCTCTCACTCTAGAGAAAGAAATTACACACATACTAAGTTTAATTCTGGTTGCACCAGATTTTCATGGGAGACTGGACAGTCTTCAGGTACTTTGGACAGCATGAGAAGTATGCAGATTTTCATTATTTCAGCTTGAAGGACAGTAAGACTAAATGCAAAGCTCTAAGAAAAGCAGCCCAAATCCAAGTTCTGAAACCTCCAAACCTCATCTGAGAATAGTGATTTTTAGCTAACTTCAAAAAGAAAAAAAAATTCTGAATCCTACTGAAAGTATTCATTTCACTTTTCAAAAAATGAACTGGTTGCTTAATATTTGAAACAAGAAATTGCCCACTGGAATTGAAGTAAAATTGACAGATTGTCTTGGATTGCATAATTTGAAAACGTGATTCATTATAAACCCATGGGAAATAAAAGGAAATGACTACACTTGTTATGACCAATGGAGGCCAATACTGAAGCCAAAAAAAAAAAAAACAAAAACCAAACCATTGAGCCATTTTGATGATACTAATTACAGGGAGGAAAAAAGTGATGTAAAACATTCCAGTGTATTAATGTTCTCCATTTTGTTCCTGTTACTGTCTTTAAATAGGTTCACAAAGCAAAATTGGGCAGCTTACAGTCATAGCACGGCCTGGGTTGGAAAGGATCATGATCATCTAGTTTCAACCCCCTTGCTACAGACAGGGCCACCAACCACCAGATCAGGCTTCCCAGAGCCACATCCAGCCTGGCCTTGAATACATACAGGAACAGGGCAGTTACAAGCACTTCAAGTTAGAGATGTTTTACAAGTTGAACAAAAACCCCCAGTTACCTCAGAGAACTCCATGAGCCTGCTGTAATTTTTAGACGCTTTGGACCTGTTGCCTTTTTTACTCAGGCTGTTTGGTGGGGTTGCTTTCTGAACTGAAGCTAAAGCCGCTCGGTAGAGAACGTACTCCCTTGTTGCAGCATGTTCTGACGTCTTAGTGCCACTCTAACAAAGAGAAAACAAAAGAAACATTTAAGAGACGTATCTGGTAACTGTTTATAGGCTATAAATCAACTTTTCATTTAATAGAAATCAAAAACTTTAGAGTTTACTTTCTTATTAATACATCATAAATATTTAAGCAGAAAATTCAATTTAGGTACTGCAGTGTTTTAAAGCACAAAGCAATATTTCCACATATTTGCAGAGAACGGGAATGCTTTTACATTTTCTTTCTGAAAAGTAAACTCCTCCCTTCTTCTGATTTTGTTTGCATTTCTATTTGTTGCTATTTTTTTTTAAAAAAAAAAAAAAAAGAAAAAGGTACAATGGTAGGGGGAAAATGAAGCTTTGTGGGATGAATGTTTCTATCAGAGGTATCCAACTGTTCCTCTACAACAGGCTGGCGTCAATAAATACTACCAAAAGCTCAGCGTAGTTGACTACCTCATTCTGTGGCAGACACCAAGCCTTGTTTTACTATCTTTTCACCTCTCAGGGAAAAACACAAAATGCTTCTGGTGTTCTGGAAGAGTTCTGCCTTGGTAGAGTGATAGATATATCTCTGTATAGTTCCATAACTAGGTCTTGTATCTATTGTTTCATCCAAAAAATATACAATGATAGTAGCTCAAAGTAGTGGAAAAATGTTTGTTTGTTTTTGTTATGTGTGGTTGACCACTTCAGACTGTTGCTTGAAAATGAGCATCTCTGAGTCCCTCTTTCCTGAATCAGTGGGGATGCTGAAGTAGCAAGCCTCTATGGAGGCTCCTAGTGAGTGGTGCTGGAACCGACACTCCTTCCTTCTCTAAACAGGACTTGTGGAAGAACATTCACATCTCTTGGGGCAATTTTCTCAGCCAATACCCCTTGGGCTGCAAAAACAGTTTATACACTACAAGAGAAGTGACCATCAATACGTGAGATAACAGGGCATCCTAACAGCCTAACATCCTAACAAACTCCAGCACACCAGTGAAACTCTTTCCAATCTAAGAATCTCTTTGATTGCTTAAGTCTGGGAAGATTCCTGGAATAACAAAGACACACCACTGTTTTATGTTTAAAATATCCTATAAGTGCAGAAACTTACAGAAAGGTTATCCAAAGCTTTACTATACATTTGGAAACCCCATTTATCTTCTTGCAAAATCTTCTTCCATGTTGCGCTGACTTTGGCAAAACTGTAATGACAATACAAACATATCAATTACCTTCTAAGAAAGCTGGAAAACTCATTATTTAATAGCAGGGATAACTATCCATACATTTATTTTTTCCATACAAAAATGGGAAACGTCAACAATAATTGTCTTGTCTTTCTAGGAAGACATACTGTCTACAAATACAACAATTCTTGAATTAATGAAATGGAAGGGATCTTAAAGATAATCTAGTTTCAATCCCTCTGCCATGGGCAGGACTGCCATCCACTGGATCACGCTGCCTGGAGTCCCATCCAATCTGACCTTGAAGGACTCCAGGGACGGGACACCCACCATCTCTCCATGCAGCCTGTGCCAGGGCCTCACTGCCCTCTGAATACAAAATGTCTTCCAAGCACTAGGCTCAACCTCCCCTCTTTTAGCTTAAAGCCATTTCCCTTTGTCCTGTCACTATCAGGCTGTATAAAACATCGGTCTCCCTACTTTAAGCACTTGAGCTGCCTTTAAGTCCCCCAGGCTCCCTTTGCGAACGAACCCATGCTTGCTGTGGCTAATGACTGACTGCATTGTCTTCCAAGTACTTTTAATAACTCTCACACTAATCTCTGTAACTTTGCCAGACAATACATGTGTTATGTGAGAATAGGTAGTTTACTTTCCCAATGAAATACCAAGATTGATATACTTACTTTATTAAGTCCATCTCACCAAGATGTCTTAAGATGCTTGCTAATATATGCTTCAGGTTCTTTTGGAAGAGTTCAGCAAGAACGTCTATTCTATCTAATCCCATTTTCTTTCCAATTAAATTACGAAGTTCAAAATGTTCCCTGAAAACAATTCTGTCAAAATCAGTCCAAGATTTGAGATTTCTTTTACCACTTTTTTTCAAAGTTGAGCAAATCATTTCTTCATAATGGCTTACAGGTAACAAAGTCTTCTTGGACAACTGTACTTGGAACTCATTCTTCTCCAGGCAGTGCTGTGGTGTGCTACAGAGATTTCCAGACAAGGGCAGGCTGTCCTCTTGTTCTGTTGCATCACTGTATTGGCTACTTAACATAGAGGAATAACCACTGTCCTCATTAAGTTTACTATTTTCCAGTGCCTCCATTTCATAGACCCCTTCATCAAATCTTTGGGTTACGTGTTTGTTTTCTTTGTTATGTACAGGCTTTCCTTCATCTTCAGGATCTAGATTTCTGGAGGCTGCATGGTACAGTTCACTCAGTATTTTCTGATGCTCTTCATCACAGCTTCTGTAAAGCTTTTCCCCAGATTTCAAAGGACAGGGTTCCTCTGGTTTTGTTTTCTCTGCAGATTTTACAGGTGTGAACCCACCATGAAGAGCCGTTTGATTGAAATCGCATTTCATTTTGAAAGAGTGATTAAGGTTCGATTTCATTGCTCTGTTTGTATTCTGCAGGTAACAAAAGGGAACATATTAGTGCACATCCTAAACTGCATCACAAAGTCTTTCTGTTGCCGTCTCTGGGAAGAGTGAATTTAGCTTAAATGCAACTAACCCTCTAGAGCCTAAAGCACATACAATGAGTGGAACTAAAAGCTTGATCAACCACTCAAAGCTAGAGCTTGATGCTGCAATATAGGTAGAACGAGGGAACAGTGACAGAGAATGATTTACCCTGCCATCATTCCACTGGTTTTACACACCAGTGTCTCCCATTCCTGCCATTGCGCAATGATATGATGGAGGCACTTGCTCCTTGGTAGCAGTGGCTCTGAAGGCCATAAGAGACAGCACAGTGGCCCAGTAAGGAGCAGAGCCAGCCCAGGGCTGCCCAAAAGACGGGCACCCCAAGGCCAGAGGCAATGCTACTGATGCAGGCAGGCACCACGCAATTTTGGGAAGGGAAGGGGGCGAAGGGCACAGCAGAAATGAGCCAGACCACGTGGAGGCGTGGGGGCAGTAGTAGTGCTCAAGGTGAAGTAAGGTTACAGGCGTGGTTTTGGCGGGTGAGAGGCAGAGGCGCGGGGACTGGTGAGTGCTGGAGGAAATGGGGCCCGCGCTGCCCGTTCCCTCCCGCCCGCCAAGTGCGGGGCTCTTCCGTGCCGAGACTGCGGGGGGATGGGCACGGGGAGCCAGCACTGCTGCCCAAACCTGCGGGGAAAGCATTTCCCTTATGCTTCGGAATTGTTATGAAAGACAGGCTCCTCCATCCGAGCTGATGTTTAATTTAGGGAATTCAGGTAATTTCAACAGATTGACAAAAACTATAAAGAACATGGAGCTCCTTCAATGCACTTTGGAGAAAAGCTCACTCCTCCGTACCTACGTGCCGAGGAAATATGGAACGAATCCACCTCTGCCTTTGTACAACTAAAGCCAGAGGCAGGATACGCGGCTCCCTCACCCCTTCCCCCACAGCGAGTACCGGAACCCCAGCGCCGGGCCCACAGCCCGCGCTGTCAGCAAGCGGCTCCCGTTCGGCTGGGGTCAAGACCCGGGGGCAGGGAACCGCGCTTTCCCCTAACCGGTTGCTTTCCCCCCCAGATGGTGGTAACGAGGCGGCGGCGGATGCCTCCCATCGACGGCGCGGCCCCGCGGGCGGAAGGGAGACAGAAGCGGGCGCTGCCCGCCGCTGGGATGGGCGCCCCGCCGCACGACAGAGCCCGGTCCCAGAGAGGCGGGCTTGGGGCAGGCAGCGTCCTGCATGCGGCGCGGCAGAAGGACCGGAGCGTCCCGTGGTTTCCATTCATCGCTATCCCATCGCAGCGCCGTCGGTAGGGAGAGAGCAGGCAAGGCTCAAGAACCCCCATTCCCAGTGCCCCTGACTCATCCCCGCGCATTTCGGCCGGTGCTCCCCACCCCACCTCCCCATCCGTCCTCGCTGCCCAGGAGTTCGCACCGCAGAACTCCCCGTGCAGCTCCGAGTCCGGCGCCACCCCGCCCCGAGCATCCCCGCACGGCGCGGCGCAGCCGGCGCTCACCTGCAGCGCTGCAGCCGCCGCGTCCCGCAAGCTGAAAGTGCGCGACCGCCCTTGCCGGGTACTTTTAAAAACTTTGAATTTGGTACCAAAAGAGCGCCAGCCAATCGGACGCCGCCGGTTCCGGCCAAGCGGCCAATGGGGAGGAGGGCAGGAGGCGGGGGCCAATCCGAGGCGCGGCGAGCGGAGCTGGCCGCCTTCCCATTTTCCCTCCTCGGCAGGCGGGGAGAGAGAAGAGTGGTCGGGCGGTGGCGCGCGCGCGCTCCGCGGAGGTGTGGCCGCGAGCATCTCCCGCCCGGCCGCGCTCGCCCCTCGGTCCCGGCAGCGCGGGAGCCGCGTATCGCCCTGTCTGTGCGAGTAGACCCTGCTTCCGGGCGCTGCTGCGCTCCTCCCCCGCCTTGCCCGCGTGGAGGGTCTCCTACTGCTTGTTTAAAAGAATGAGTCGCTACAGCGATGTTGTGACGCGTCTGAATGCTACTGCCGCTTTCCTCCATCTCCATTCATTTTCAAGTGGATGTGTATGGGACAGTCACAGCATCTCTCTGCATGCATGCGGTATGAATTCATCATCAGTGAACAAGAGTTCCAGGGAAGAACGTGTTGCATGGACTGCATACCTCATCACCTCTCTTCCCCACCGCTGACACAGGGAGGAGGATTTCTTTTTAAGTATAATGGGCACTAGTAGTTGTTGGCATTCTGAGAACAGACTGGAAGTAAGAAGGTACCCCACCACCCTTACAGTTCCATCTCACAGTTCAGGAAGGCCACACGTGCAGTGAGACTATTGGGGCTACTCCTCAAATAATGCCTCCATGGCACCCAGAAAAAAATAGCACCCATTGACATTCAATGATGCTTGCTGAACATTGATAGCCATCAACCAGTGGATGTGAGCACAGTGAGGGTTGAGTGGTATGTTTCAGCAGCGGCAACAGCGGGTCAACCTCTGCTGATGACCTTTACAAATGCAGCTTCTGTTTGCTGCTGCCAAATGTGCACAGTTAATGGCGGTGACTATGTTGAAAAACTGTTTGTAGTTCAGAATTTGCTCTATCAAATATTGTCATTGTGTACTTTGCATCTGTCGTAGTTGCCCTGGAAATAAACAGGAGGCATAACTTTCGGAGCAACCTACATACAAATCTTGCATTAAAACTAATACAGCACATAAAAGAGACTTCAAACCTTTATGGCATAAAGTCTGTACTGGCAGACCAGACAGATCCCTACACTATGTTATAAGCACACCCTGTACAGCACTCAGGTGTGTTCATTTTTAGATGCCAGTCAGCTGCCTGCCAGAATCACAGGGTCCCTGGTTTCCTGACTTTTCTCACGCTAGCCCCTGGCCAAGCAATGAAGCACACAGAATCTGCTTAGGAGACAGAAAAAAGCAGGGAGATTGTGGGCCTGGCAGGGCTGGACCAACAAGGCCCCACACGGGATATGAAAGGAAACCTTATGGTGGCAAAGACCTTAACTAACATTCATGGGGTTCATGCATTAGTCCCAGAGCTAAGCCAGGCTGATGTCCCTTATGCACCTAGAAAAATACAACGCTAAGAGAGAAGGAATCTCACACTCCTTTCATCATCTGGTAGAATAGAACCTGGCTTTAAATCAGGAAGAGTGCAGTAATGGCTCCGTTTGCAGCACTGATGTGGTAGGAATAAAGACTTCAGTCTTAGATGCTGATCCCATCAATCTCTAAATATTTTAAATACAAAGAGTGTACCAGCAGATCTGCTGGTAAATCTAGACATAGGTAAGGTTTCACACTTATCAACAGGAAATGTGTACCTCACCTAACATACACAGGCACGTCAACATCTTAAGGTAATATATACAACCCCTTTAATTTAAATATTTGGAACTTGGTCTTTCTTACCATGCTACGTTTGCTAGAAAACAAAGCTGATAGAGTCGATACTTGTTTCTGAAATACATCCATTCAAACTGCAATCTTAAAATGAAATGAACAACACAGTGGGATTGAGTGTACTCTCAGCAAGTTCACTGATGATAGCATGCTGAGTGGCACAGTTCAAACAATAGAAGGGAGGGACACCATCCAGAGGGACTTGGACAAGCAAAAAAAGCAGGCACTCAAGAATCTGATGAGGTTCAACAAAGCCAAGTGCAAGTTGTTTTGCTTGGGTTGAGGCAATCCCAGATATGAGAACAGACTGGGAGACAAACTCAAAAGCAGCTCAGTGGAGGATTTGGGGATTCTGATGGACAAAAAGCTGTACATGAGACAGCAGTGTGCTCTTGGAGCTTGGAAAGGCAGCTGCATCAAAAGAGGGATGGCCAGCAGGCAAAGAGCAGTGATTGTCTCCCTCTACTCTGCCTTTGTAAGGCTCCATCTGGAGTACTGTGGAGCACAGTAGGGATGTGGAGCTGTCAGAGCAGGTCCAGAGGAGGCCATGAAGACAAACAAAGGGCTGGAGCACCTCTCTAACGAAGAAAGGTCAAGGGAGTTGAGCTTGTTTAGCTTGGAGTAGGCTTGGGAAGATCTTACTATGGCTTTCCAGTACTTGAAGAAAGCTTACAAGCAGGACATGGACTGACATTTTATATGGTCTGATAGTGATAGGACAAGAAGGAATGGCTTTAAACTAAATGAAGGTTCATTTAGGTTAGATGTTAGGAAGAAGTTTTTTTACTCAGAGGATGGTGACAAGCTGGAATGGGTTGCCCAGAGAGGTTCTGGATGCTCCATCTTTGGAGGGGTTCAAGGCCAGGTGGGATGGGACCTTGGGCAGCCTGGTCTAGTGGCTGTCAACACTGCCATGGCAGGGGGTTGGAGCTAGACAATCTTTAAGGTCCCCTCCAACTTAAGCTATTCTTTGATATGATAAACTGATAATGATCAGTTTTGGTTTTTCATTCCTTGTTAAATTTTATATAGCATGCTTAGCCATGTTTCTATAAGCTAACTGTAGCAAACTCCTGCATTTACTTCTTTCTTACTCTAATTTCTTATGCTAATAAGTCTCAAAGTAAACAACTGTATTCAAGGTCATATTTTGCTTAGGTTCTCACTTCTTATTTACTGGTACTTTGAATACATTCTGTGTGTGTATACACACATATCTACAATGAATGATGGGCTAACGTAGCATGGAGTTTTGTATTATCACAAATACTTAAGATTGTAAAATGCAGTCTTATTTAACCTCAGATAGGAATTTGTACCTATGTTAGTACATGAAAAAGGCAGTTCTTATGCTTTGAACAAATGTTTTAAGACGCTGTTAAACTGAACAGTTTAAAACAGTGAGCAGTCACTCATATTATGTAAACTTGAGAGGGAAAAAAAGTGCAGATCCAATTAAAAACAATAAACTGTATAGAAATAGAGACTGAAATTGTATCAGCCTTCAAGACAGCCACCCTATTTTGTTGTTGTTGTTTTTTTTTTGTTCTGACACAAGAACAGAAACATTCTTTTTAAAAAGAATTCACAAAACTAGTGACTTTTCTTCTAGAACTCTTGCTGGAACAAGGAATCTTCCTATACAATTCCTTCTGCTTGATTTACAAGAACTCCCTCTCCCATACCACGTATAAGTCATTAACAAATCTGCAGATTAGTAGTGTGTTCATTTATCACTTTCTTTGTATTACTAAACAAAATAGGATTTCTTTTTTTGTTATCTTGACTAAGCTATTTGACACTGTGGTGACATTGAAATTATTGTTTGAACAAGACTTGGAACTAGAAAAAACTCATTTTTAATGCATACCTTTTGAGAGTGGTGTATCAGTATCTTCTCAGTGGAGAAGTTAAAAACTGCAGTTACATCTGGCCCAGTCAAATTTACTTTAAGCACACTGCAGCAGCAACAAGGTGTTTTACTCAACAAGTAAGAATACTGTTTATCAGCCATGAGGAAACCAGCTTTCATTATCTGAAAAGCAGTTCTGTTGTCTGAATAGTGCTCCAAGGAGTTCTTTTGCAGGCGAGTATCTCTACCTGTAGACATGGCTTGACAAAGTGCAAGATTCATTTTTCATGTTCTGAAATAATTTCCATTAAAGATTCATAATCAGCGTATTCCTTCAGAGTTTGTATCATTTCATCTAGCATTTCTTCCCCTAACATGAAGCACTCTGTATGATGCACTGATCTGCTTATCCTGTGGTCAGTAATCCGGTCCTGTGGAAAGTTGTATGTTCTGATCTTCTCTGATCTTCCTTTAGTTCCAATCTATCAAACAAGAAGAATCAAGTTTACAACACTGATTAAAAGCCTTCTTGTAGGAAGAGTGAAATACTGATTAAGCATTTAAAATGAAATTTTTCTCTTTCTTATAAATACATAGTATCTGTTATGTAGTGCTTGGACTAGATCGGTAGTCACACTAATTGCTCTTAAGCTTGTGAAAGAACACAGGAGTTAACCCCCAAGAACGTATGCTCATATAGAATTAAATCTTCACAAAATGAAACTTACTTGAATCTTTCGAACACTGTTTCTCTTTCTGGTTTCTTCTTCTAGTTTGATGTTGTACAGTTTAGCACAAAGCATTTGCATAGCCTTCTCTTTGTTTCTAATTTGAGATCTTTCTTGCTGACATTCAGATGTGACCCCTGCCAAAAACATAATGAGAATTAACACTAAACTGGAACATATAAAAAAGAGTTTGCAATTTCTAGAGATTTTTATTATGAGGAAAAAAAATGTATATTTGGACAAGGAAGGTGAAAGTCCAGGCTCCTTCATGTCTGATGATACTTTGGGGACAGAACTGCTAACTGCAGGCTGAGTTGTGTTTTGAGCTTTATGGCAGAAGAAAATAAATTTATTTTGGTATATTGAACAATGAAATAAGTGATAAACTTCTAAAGATATCTATATTTGTTTTTACCACAGTTTTAGGAAATTTAGCAGTAAAACAGCAGGAATGTACACTACATAGTGGCTATACAGAACATACAAAAAAAAAGTACGGTCTCTTCTAAAAAATATACAATTCAAGTTAAGACAGTAAATGAACAACCTAAGAAAAGAGCAGGAAAAATAAACGCAGGAAGAAGATGGTACAACCTAAGTTTCTATTTGGAAATGCTATAAGTAACTCTGGTAAGATTACAGTACACTGATACATAATTACTTAGCATTAATGTATGAAATACAAGTTTTGTTGTCTTAAAGCAAACTTTGAGAACAACTTTTGGGGTCACAGTGAAGACTTGTAAATGGAGTTGGGATGACAGAAATTGAAAGAATACTTGAAAAGCAAGAGAGATTATGAAGATAAATAAGAAAATTTCAGATTAGGTGAAATGCAAAAAAAAAAAAAAAAAAAAAAAAAAAAACCCCACAAATACCCCATGCACTACTCCTAGCACATAAACACAAAAAACAACTGCAATACATTTTAATATTTTTATTAAAAAAAACCTAATAACTGCCTTCAGCAAAAGCTAAGACCATTTGCTGCTTTTTGTCTGCACATTTGGAAAAAAACAAAACAATACAAAATTTTTCTAATCTGAGTACTTTTTTGTCACTGTGTCTTAAGTAGAATTCTATTATCTTCACTATTTACCCTCCACTTTACTGAGGTGATGCAACAAGTGTAGAGTGGATTTATGTATTCAATAAATGCAAAGAAATGGGTGGCAAAAACCTGGATATGCAAAGATAAAGTGTACTCAGGATTACCCTGAGGCTGTAAAGCCTGACTAATGTCTGTGGAGGAGAAGAGGAAAAGTTAAAAAGCAATGAAAGTCAAAGGCAGATGTTGTGGATTGCTCAAAAGGAGGTTAAAAGCTTAGAAACAGCAATAAAAGATACGATAGCTGACATCAGGTAGCACTTGAGGGTGTATCTTATCCCTCTTACATTTCCTAACCTGAGCCCTGGGGATGGGTGTTGTAATTATGTCTGCAATCCATAGGAAAGGAGCCAGAAGACAAATGGAAGCTGGCAACCTAAGCAGACTCTGCAACGGATGACACTTAAAACTTACTTACTCAATAAGGAAAAAGAGCAACCTCTCTTTCAGAGAACAGTCAAGAAAAAGTACATCCTAAGATTTTAACTTCTGTTTTTCAATTTCTTTTCCGTTAGTTGAAAGCTTAATATAAAACTTTTTTTATAAATTGATTTTAATACTTCATGAGTGTCACACTTAATGGAAAAACTGACAGCTTACCTACTAAGGCCTTAACTATTACAAATAAGGGTAAGCACAAGACACCGCCTTTACAACGTTATAGAGATTTTCTGCACATGCAAAAATAACACAAAAACTTTGCTCTTCAGTTACCCAGGTTTGAAACTGTTCTTTCAAATAACATAGTACAAAGGAAATTATGACTGTATTTTTACAGTGTAGTTCTTATAGTAAGGAAAACTGAAGCACCTGTTGGAATATGAACTATCCGAACAGCACTGTCTGTGGTATTGACATGCTGCCCTCCAGCTCCACTAGCTCTCTTCGTTTCTATTCGCAAATCTTTTGGATTGATTTTCAGCTCCATCTGTCATGGGAGACAAAAAGAAAAGAAGTCAAATATGCACAATTGGTTTATTTTATAAAACATATTCAGGCAAGATCAAACACATTTTTTTTTCCTAAAGTTTGAGTGGTAGCTCAGATCCACTTATAAAAAGCAGGGAAATCAAAGATAACCATCCATGAGCACTAATCTCCTTCTTCTGAAAGTTCTGCACTCTCCCTCAGACAAGTTAAACAGTATTTGAACTTGACTAGATTGGTTTCACAAGAAAGAGAACATACTGACTTTGTTGGCTCTGGAATGGGGTGGTGATCTCTGGGAGGAAGTAATGAAACAGCTTAGGAACAAGAAGAAGGAATAAAATATTTTGGCAGTTTGCTAGGACGAACATCCAAAGTTTTAATTATTAGCCAGTTATTTAAAACCAAGTAAATTTGCTAAGGATGAATTGTCACTTATGCAATTTGGAAGGGGAAAATGAGGATACTATAAAAATAAGTAAGAGGGATGCTAAAACAAATATCTATGTCCTCTCTAAACTAAATAAGTCTTTTGCCACTGCATCCACTGAACATGCAAGGCACAGTTACAGTATATTTTCAAGTGACAGTGAAGTAAACTGCCAGTGAGTTTAAGATAACAATTATGATGAAATATAGAAATTACTTATTTTATTCCCTTAGGCAAAAATAAGCAATCAAATACAACTTAAAACTTTCAGAACAAAAAGCAAAATCATAATTAAGAGAGAACAACTAGACAGACAGAAAAGACTTTGGTATAAGCAATATGGCAAGTAAAAGCATTGCTTATGGTAATACCTGTTATACTAAAAATAAATGTTACCTCAGTGGGTTGGGGTAATATTGCAACAGTCATTGTGCTGGTGTGAATGCGCCCTTGTTTTTCTGTCTTTGGCACACGCTGAACACGATGCACTCCTCCTTCAAATTTCATGTACTTGTAAGCATCAAGGCCTGCTATACTGGCAACTGCATGTCTTAGGCCACCTCAAATAAAAAACAGTTGTAGAAGTGTAAACAATATTGGCTACATGTTATTACATTTCAAGCATACTGAGGCATCATTGTTGTTTATTTCTTAAAACTACATATTTATCATTTTGATGCTTGAGTAGGATTACATCAAAAATGCAAGAGAACTCCAAAACATACATTCTCACACAATATATCAAGTAAAGGACAGTCAAGTTCTTCTAACAGAATCCAGTTAAATTTTTTATACATACATAAAAGGTTGTTTATGAGCATGTACACATACAATACTTCAACTATAGCAGAAAACTGACACCAATTGTAAGTTTACGTAAAGATCAAGCTTTGAGAGCCACTTCCAGTAACTATATCAAATTCTTTTGAGTAGTATTTGAGAACCTCAACATGTAATGGATACAGAAAAAAACCATCACAGTAAGTCTTACTGGATGGACTTACTGTGGGACATCTGTTTTTTTTTTTTTTTTTTTAAATTATTCTTCCCCATTCTCTTTTACGTCTCGTGTTTGTTCTTCCATTTCAAGTTTTTACTCCATCAGAATTAGCAGAGTTCCTGCCCCCTTACCCGCATATTAAGCAAAATGTTTGACAGCAACACACTGAAAGTTAGCACAGAATGTTCAGAATTGGAACTTTCGAACTAAGACCCAATACAATCAAGACAGAAAGTTTGTTGCAATACTAGTTGATGGCATTCTTCCTCCTCGTTTGCCAGAGTGCAATCCTTTCAACTGTGCTAGTAGAACTGTTTCAAAGATTAGAGAACTGATGGCACTGTAAGTGAATGTCATTATTATTACTATTATTATTTTAACTGCTTTGTTTTTTTTTAATTCAAATCAGTTCCCAGATCCCATTCTCAGCAGAGCAGGTGGTGTGCCAAGGAAGATACTGAAAATGAGAAAACCTTGAAAGAATATTGCTGTATGAAGTCTTTGAATGAAAAAGCACAGCCCAGGAAAATGAGAGGCACATACATACTTCTCAGAAATACCATTTTAGACTCTCTAGGTTAGGGGACAAGGTAACAGCTTTATAAAAAAGAAAGATGAAGAGAACATAGAATGTGATATCACTGCACAGTACAGAAGTCAGTCATCAGCCAGAACACAGGCGAGGTTTTTCACTACTACTGCAAATGTTTTTGTTCTACAGAAATTTAATGCTCCCTCCTAACTTTACTGAAACATATTACTTTTTACAGTTAGGTTTGTCAGAATCAGCTGAAATTGCCTTTTTTTCCTTACTTTCACCTCATTTTTGTCCCTGTGAATTCTAAAATTTTACTCCCACCTGTAGAGATCTATATTACTTTCCAATCAAATGCATCACTCAACACAAGCAGTTCTTGATTTATAGTCATTATCTACAACCAATTCTGTAAGACAAAACCATCATGATAAATATGACTTGAAAGCATGTATTTTAACTAATAAGAAAATGCATCAAACACTTCAGTTTAAGTCAGTACTCTCTAACAGGCGCCACGAAATCTTAATTATTATGCAAACAGTATTCAAATAAACAAAATAACCCTCCTTGTAGAAGAAGATATACGTAACCTAAGCAAACTGTGTATTTGTGTTTGCAGTGCTAGAATTAAAACATAGTTGCTCCTTCAGATGTAAAAGTACTAAAAAATAATAATAGTAAAAAACAAAAATAATAAAAAAAAAATCACAACAACAAAAAGATATAAGAAGCATTTTCTGCACATGAGGAAAAAGCCAAGCCAAATCCGATGTAAAAATAACTTGAATGGCACTCTAGACAAAATTAATTATGTAATAAGCAGTTCATTGCAATAGCTAACGTTCTGTCTTTTCTCCCTCACTTGTCCTGTCATTAGTACATCTACAACAGGTAGAGTCTGCCTATCTGATCTGCAGTTACATCTGTGATATGCTGAGGAGACTTTAAGTCTGTAGCAATGATTGTGCAACTGTGGTAATGTGGAGCTTAGTACAAGATGACCAAGAAACTAGCTTAAAACAGGTATTTATTTAGGTCATATCCAGATACACTATTACACTTCAGATACACTATTACCAATACACAGTAACTTCAGGTTTATCAAGAAACACAGTCAAATCCAAGAAAATTCAAACAAACCTTCTATCCATTTTTTAAAATTTTTTAAATTTTTTTAATATTGCAAACATTACTTAGGCCTGTCAAACACCGCTAGCTCCTACTACCTATTGTTTGCCTCTAACTAAAAGCGTCCTCTCCATTCTGTAAAGCCAAGGTGCAACAAACAAGGAGCTTGAGCTCTGTTGGTTTCCTTATGTCACCTTATATTCAGACCGCAACAAAGTTTGATATCTATGTTTCCACCTGCTGCTATAGAGCAAGAAGTAGCGGATAAATAATACCACATGGGACTGTGCTTTACTGTGCATGTTAAACCTCAAATGTGCTATTTCTCAGAGTCATTTCTGCTGGTGTGTCCATAATGTAAGTTAAGAGTGGATTCAGACTAATTCTTAGTTGCAGCCGTGCTTAACATTCACCTTATTAACCTCTTCGTGTTTAGATTCTGGAGCTCTTTGAAATGAGGAAGCTTGATCTTTTAGTATAGGACCTTCTTTTTTGCTCATGCAGTCTATAAGAATTCAATGTGGATGGGATATAATCACCAGCCATACCAGTGTATATCTTTAACTTGCTTCTTAATAAACCCTGGACCTAAGGAACTGTATAGGAATATGGTGTCTGTGCCATCTACAGTGGTTCTACCTTGCAACTTACTCCCAGCATCTCAAGTTTTGGATGCGTGTGTGGTCATAAAAACGAGTATGGTGAGGAAATGCATTTAAGAGGCAAACAAAGAATAAGGCTATTTTATTTTACTGCAAATTTATATCCTCCTTCTCTAAATATTCATCTCATTCTATAGGCAAGTCCTCAGCAAGTCAAAGTAGTTCTGACACGTATCTAACCCCATTAAAAAAGAAGCATCAATAAGAAAAAAAATGGGTAGATATGTATTAATTTATGACTCTGATTTCCAATTTCAGGCACTGAAAAGAATACTTCTGCAGGTTTGTGTTCATTATCTAAGAATTCACCAAAAAGGTAGTCAAGCACAGCTCCCTTTCTCTTGTAATCTCAGGGCTGCTAGTTGAGTCAGATCTGCCTGAACTATCCACTAACAATAGGTAGCTTTTAAGCCAAATCAGCAGATTGATCCAATTAGCACTGCAGCCTCAAAACTGCTAAAGGAGAGACACAGAAGAGATGTAAAGTTGGCAGCTGGCTGTAAAGTGGGACTGTCCCTATTAAAGCTGACTTCTTCCATAAGTCCCTCTTCTTCAGGTATGAAATAAAGAAAACTCCTCCCTTTCCCTCATATCGTTTATACTCATCTAACCTGTACCATGCTGATTCAATTTGCTTTTAAAAGCAAGTAAGTTTGTCATTGCAGAATCTAGTTCAGTTTCTGGTGAAGTACTGACTGAAGAGAGATTAGCTGTTCTGATGGATCACATCCTGTAATTTCCCAGCTCTTCCAACTACATCTTCAGCGTTTCTCAAGCAAGCTGTTTTCCTTGTTTTTCTTTCCTCAATTAAAACAAAAATTTTAAATGATTATTTTTCATGTTGTTTGTTACTTTTTATCAATACCTATCTATCAGAAGAGTTAATAAAAACATAATTATAACTATGAACTGTTTGTAGCTATAAAAAAGAAAAAAGGATGCTGATGAAAATACAAATAGTTTCAAGTACTAGATGCAAAATGTGTGAGCACCCAACTACCAATCCATATCCACTGTAAAATACACATTACTGCCACAGCAAAATATAGGTTACCAAAATACACTGGCTTTACTTACCACACTATACGTAACAGCAAGGCTGCAGATCTGTCAACACGGACTTAGCAGGTCCAGCCTGCTGAGAACTGTGACTAGCTATCTGTCAAAATGTGGTCCCTACCACCACTCATGCACACCATCATATTTCAGACTGCAGTTAACCTGAGCTCACTGAACCTTCGACTGCTGGAAGGACATGAAGTCACATTTTTCTGCTTCCACTCTCTCCATGATTATTTCTCTTTCCCTCTGTTGTACTGGATCACCTGAAAACTGATTAATTTTTGTATGTAGTTTGTCTGCTGAATTAACTTGATAATGAGGCTTTCAGCAATGATGGAAGTGTCAGTGCAGAAAAGTCATGTAGAGACAGCAGCCTGATTTTTGTGAAACAAGTTTACACACCAGCTGGTACAATCAGTAAATTAATGTCCTGCCTCTGTTTGTTATGTAAACCTACCATGCTCTCTTTCTGTAAACACACTGCTCCCAGAGATGCAGAGAATCAACTTAAGAGCTCCATCACCAAATACAACAGTTTCTAATCTTCTTGCATTCAGCTACAAGTTGCTCTTTATTTTATGCTATTTATTTTTATAAAGGCACCTCTTTTCACTAGCATCAATAAGGTGAAAAACTGATAAGTTAAATTTTACTCAAAGGCTTTTTTAGCTGATCATATGTTTTAGTTCTCCTCTCAAAGTTTCAGCAACTCCCTCACTTTGTGTATCCATTAGCTGTTACATGAGCTATATCCAAACATCTCCTTTCCCTGTACAATCCTCAATTTCTTTTTACAAACACAGGTTATATAAAACTAAAACATAACAGCATGACCTTCTGAATTTCTTATCTGCAAGCCCTTAGTTTCATTTCTGTTTTTTTGAAACTACTGAAAGAATTTTTTTTTTAGTATGTTATTATTTTAATAGCGCTTCTCAAGTGGGATATCACTCTCAAATACAGAAGCTGAAGAAAATTGTACCCAGACATTCAATCTCTGCTTCTAAATATAATTTCCCAGAAATTTGTTTCCTGTAGTCAGGAAATTCATATGGCATAAGAATGAATTTTTCAGCTTAAAGTAGAATGTTACAAAAAAATACCCTTTTTTTTTTATATTTATTTTTTTTTTTTTTTTTTGGTAAGATACTGACCTATTTCACTGGGAAAATATTCTAGTATTTCAAATTTCCACTTTTTATAGGCAGCGTATCGTCGGTACATATCAAATATCTCTGAAGTGAACAGCATCGCTTCTTGTCCTCCAACTCCCGCAGTTACTTCCATGACAAGACCACTGTTTGTTTCTTCTGAAGGAATCAAAAGCAATACTATCTGTGAATGCAAAAACACTCATCTAAGATCTCCCCCTTCAATCCAGAACTGATATTGTATAAAATGCCATGCAATAATTTATCTACTCTGCATTCTCCTGCATTAACTCACAGACTCTCCAGAATCTGCTTTGACAACCCTTGAATTAATACACAGGAACTGGGAGGGGAGGATGCTGCATTGCCAAAAGCCTCCCTGGGTCTGTTTGCAGAAACAAAAGATTTATTTCAAGACCCACAAAACTTCATAGAACTTTTCATCAATTAGAAGCACTGCACCAGTTGCACACCATAGGATATATAATGATTCTTGCAAGAAAACAAAACTTCTCCATTCTCATTAGATTCCTCTTTAAACCAATATCAACTTCAGAACTAAGAAGATGCTCTGGATTACATTTCAACACCAATTCAGCTATATTATTTTTATTTATTTAAAGGTGAGATGGCTTTATTGATCTGTTGGATAAAGATATACCAGAATATTAGAACCAAAAACTATATAATAGTTCTGAAGGATTGATTAAAACTCTGTATGACTTATAAATAATTTTCAATCATCCTTCTTTACTAGTACTAGGTGATGTCTCTTTCTACTTCAGCTTTCCCTTTCTTCTTTTAGCATATATCATAAATATCTACTAATAAATAAATATCTATTTTTTATAGATATTTATAATAATATGACTGTTCCATTGCTGCCAAAGGAATAAAGAATGTGAGTTACAGTCTATTTCAACTAACAGCCAGCCAGCTTCTAGTTTGCCAGTAGCATTAGGAACATGTTAGCAGTTTACATAAAGGTAACTATTTGATACAAATACCCATAGATACTATGTAGAACCTATACAAGGTAGCAGTCTAAAGCAGTTACATAGTATTACACTATTTTTTTCAAAACCACATCACGCAAGTTGAAAGTTCCTAACCAATAACAAGCTGAACACCCACAAAGGTACAACCAGAAGAGACAAACTACAGCACCCACCTATCAGGATGAACTGACAAAAAAAATTCAGCCACAGACTATCTATATGCAGTCTGCATTTTCCATTTTCTTTAGGTAACAGACACTGGCTGAGGAGTACAGATGGCAGAGGTCAGGAGGGGGGAAAGGAGAAGAGTTCATCATACATATCTTATTTAATGAGAGGACAACTTGGCTTTCTTAACTTAGGAATAGCAAGGAATCAACAAGCTTTCAGAGGCAATCTAACCTGGCGTTTCAGTTCAGCGATCTCTTCTTCACAGGAAACGATTTCCCTTTCTGCAAGTTTCCGCAGATCTTCACTTTCATCTGGAATATTTGAGTATGGTTAATCCTCAGACTTAAACCAGGGGCACTCTCAGAAAACCTTCTGAAAAATAACCATCTGAAGAACTTACTCTACAAAATAAACAAAATCACATCAAATCTGTCAGAACATGTGATTAATGTTACAATCTAGAACAATGACAAACAGCGTTCACTGGAACAAGAATTGTTCCAGTGAAGTTTCTACACCTGAAACACAAGCAATCCCACTTCGGCATAAGAAAGAAAACATAATTTACTGTAATGGTGGCCAAAATATGGAGAAGGCTGCCCAGGGATGTTCAGGGGTCTCACCCCTGCAGACAGCCAGACCCAAACTGGACACGGCCCTGGGCTATGTGTGACTGCTCTGGGCAGTGGGCTGAGCCATTCCCTGACGGGCTTTCCAACCTCAGTCACCCCAGGATCCTGGGGAACACCCTCCTGTATTTCACTGTGATAGGGACATCAAGGATCAAAGTGTAGAGTCCCACGATTAACATTTCATTAAAAGGACTCTGTGTGTAAAAATTGCACATCAGTAGCAGTAACTTCAAGTACTCTATCTGTAAGAAGTTACTGTAAGGCAGCTGCAGAATTTCTAACACACTGCTGAAAGACATAAATATTCAAGAGTTCTCACATAAGAGGAACTTGTAATTTTAAGATGATACTTGACTGATCAACACTCATAATTTACAGTTAGACTTGCTTTCCTGTGCTACTGTTTAAATATGTTAAGATGTCCCTTCCTCCCACTCTCTGGTCACTATCAAATTTCAGACTTCAACAAAATACAGCTTAAACCACCTCTGACCTGTAGTAATTCAGCTCATTTGCCCAAAAGAAAACAAAATAAACCCTCCAAAAGGAGTAAATTACATACATAATGAAAGGGTGTGGAACACAAGGACAGAACTGCATAGTCAATGGCACAAGACCAAAACAAAAGATGCCAGCCACCATCTCTTTGTGCACAGCTGAGTCTGGGAGGTACCCTCACAGCAAATACACACCTTTTCAGTACTGTGATTCATGTTAGCAATTAACTACATTTTAAAATAACTTTTGTTGTCTTTAAAGATCACATTCAACATCTGGGGATTATTTTTTTCCAAATCACTTCTGCAAAAAGGGAAGGAAAAGAAAAAAAGCATGTGTAAATTGGTTTCAATAAAAAGTATGCTTTATTTACAGCTGGCAAGAAGCACACATGGCTGAGTGGCTGATGAACTGTGATACCTTAAACACATTAAATTGATCACCTGCATCCATCTACTTCTTTATTTTAGACTGACTACTGTCTGATCAAGGTCTAGCATTAAGGCCAACAGAATCAGATATTCACTAAGTAATTGTGAAGAACAAACCTATTTCATAGCATAATTGCATATTTTAATATAGAAATGTAAAACAAGCTCTAAAATCACTTAAGAGACATACGGTCTGATTTTTAGGTGGCCCTGTGTGGAGCCAAGAGTTGGAATCGATGATCCTTGGGCAGTGATAGGAAAAGGGGGAATGGTTTTAAACTAAGATGGGAGGTTTAGGTTAGATATTAGGAGGAAGTTTTTTACAGAGAGGGTGGTGATGCACTGGAACAGGTTGCCCAAGGAGGTTGGGGATGCCCCATCCCTGGAGGCATTCAAGGCCAGGCTGGATGTGGCTCTGGGCAGCCTGGTCTGGTGGTTGGCAACCCTGCACATAGCAGGGGGGTTGAAACTAGATGATCATCGTGGTCCTTTTCAACCCAGGCTATTCTATGACAATTATACGATCCACATGGGGCCCTTTCAATTTTGCATATTCTATGATCCTATTACATAGAAGTATTTTTAAGGATGAGCTGCAAAAGTGCTCACAGTGACCGACCAAACCCTTATGGTCACTTTGCTTAAGATCAACATCAGGTTGAAAGAAAGGGTTCAGAAGGGAGACAAAAATCCTTCACTCTATTTCCACATAACAGAAACTAACAACTTTGGGCCAACTAATAACTTTTCCAACTGAAGCACTTCTCTTTTTTTCACTCCACGTCGGAAGAGAATGAACTGGAGAGAAAAAAGGAAAAACATTTTCCTTTCGAACAACGTTTGACATCTCCTCCAGCCAAAGCAACGAGAGCTTTTAGCACTACTGTGCAGCCCCGAGCGCGCCCCCGCGGAACGGCACGCATCCCACGCATGCGCAGCCGATACCCTTACAGGTCGGCAGTGCCACTCATTCGCCTGCACCCGCCCCCTCCGGGAGGCCACCCAATCACGTCGGGTTATGCAAATTACACCCCGCACCGCCCACAAGGCCTCATGGACTCCAGCACGCCCCGCCCATGCAGAGCTCTGCTCTGCCCTCCCCTCCCCGTCGCGGCGGCCTGAGGCGGGACCGGACACAGGCCTTTCGATGCGCCTCACCTTGTAGTGCCAGCTCCCGCGTGTCTCGCAGCTCCCGTTCCTTGTCACGCAGCTGCTGGATCCGCGCCGCCAGCTCCGTTCCGGCCTCGCCCTGCACCCGCGCCTCCAGGAGGCGGCTTAAGGAAGGGATGGCAAACAGTTCGTCTAAGCGAGGCCGGGCGCTCAGCCCACGCCGCGGCTGTTGCGGACGTATTGCCGCCGCGCTGCCCCTGCCGGACACAGCTTGGTAGTTGCAGGCAGGCAGTGCGATTGCCCGGCAGCTTCGGGCCGCGCAGAGAGCTCGCGAGAATAGTCCCATACCGGCTGAGGACTGCTCCATGCACTCAGCTCTTCTTTCGGCAGCCCATCGCGCCGGAGGTAACCGATGGCGCTCGGCTGTTTCCCTTCCGGGTTTCCGGAAGCTGCCGAAGAGGCTCGGCCCCGATATCAGCCATTGGGGCTCCCGTGGCGGAAACGAACGAAGGGTTTCGGTTCTCTTCGTCTCGTGGAGGGGGGGCGGTGCTCTCTGATTGGCCGGCGCTGACAGTGCGTGCAGTGGGGGCAGGGTGGCGTTGAGCTGAGCTCGGAAAGTATACTGAAGAATAATATAGGTTATTGTAAAAATATGCAACTGGCATAAAACTTTATTAGGCAGTAGTTTATGTTCCGGATGTCAAAGTCACATCTTTGCCATTCTTCCATTCTTGTTTGTGTCTTAACAGAAGGACATAACCATACTTCACAAGTGAACTACCCTGGTGGGATAGCAATAACCGCATCGTTGTACATGAATAAATCGTCATGGTCATGAGTGTTAATGCACCACTTTGAATAAAGCTCTATGACAAAAGTTATGACAGTAGTGTAGAATTAACTTACTTGAAGTAAATGTGGAAGTAAGCTGGGCAGTGGTGCATAGTGCAGCCTGGTTATTGTGGGTCCCAGTGACCGCAAACGATTGCCACCCACCCATGCAGCGCCCCAAGCTGTAACAGGTGGATTGTGTCCCTATTTTAAATGGGAAAGATGTAATTCCACTGAGTGACAGGTTATGGATAAAGGAAGGGGCAAAACCTGACTCTTGGCATAATATGAGAGTAGTTGTTTCCCAAAAGTGCAATTCATGTAATCCTTTTTCTAGCTCACGTTGGTGCCACTGCTGCATTGTTCTTTTGTATTGCAAAAGACACACCTGCTGCCAAAGCCCTGAGGTCTGAGATGCGCAAGGAGGACTGAGGTTTCATCTCTGCAATGTGTGCTCAGGACGGAGGTGAACAGGGCTGGGCAGCTGCAACTGTATCCCAAGCTGCTCCAAAAGGGTGCTTCTACAAACAAAGCAGTGTTTTGGAGTTGATAGTTAAACATGATTCAAAGCAATGTGTGGAAGACACATAAAGGGCTTTTGCAGCAATAGTTTGAGTATGGAAACTTCTTGCTCCTTAATGCAGTAAGACCAGCCAGCTACTTACAAAGGCCTTCTCACCTCTTTTATATACTATTCACAGGCAAATGGTTGTTGTGTTCACTACTGATGCAAGTCTGGCATCAAATGACAGTTCAAACCCCATTTATTTGATGACGTTGATGAAGGTCTACTGTATATTGTTGGTTTAGATCACAGCCTAGCAGACACTTCTGCATACTTTTAATTTAAAACAGGATATAATTAATGTGTGATTTCTATCAACTCACTGTGAGTCACTGATTCTGTGGTGCTGTGAAGGGTTTTGTGGGTTCCACTGATGCTTGGATGAGTCTGAGACAGTGTGGACGCATTTCCAGGGCATTCTGCCCTGCCTGGTCTGGCCAGCGGACACTGAGGTCTCTTCCATACATATGTGTCTTCAAGCTAACTTAGATACTTTTGGTGTTTTCTGTGGTTTTATTTTATCCTGGCCATTTCAAACCACTTTCAGCTCAGATGCACATCACTAAGTTGAATGTGTGCAAAATACAACATATACTCAAGTATCTTCAAAACCTGAGGGTCTTAGGAGTGTACCCACATGCTCTGCTTATTTGTGTCTATTTGGCATTGTGCTCTGCTTGATGGAAAAGCTCGAACACCAGACAAAAATGACAAAAAACATAACTCACATTCCATAGTGCTATATACATTCTCATGAAAAACTGAAATACAAGTTAAATACATACTTATTTTATTCCAGGCTATAGAATAAGTGTATTTAGGCAGTTTTTCAAAGTGTATTGTACACTGCATGCACAATTAATCAGTTTAATAGCTTGACTGTTTTACATTTTGTGTTCAAAGAACTGCATGACAGGCAATGAGATCATGTTATGGCACAAGTTGTTGTCCATTCGGACTATATTCATTTTTTCATAAAATTTTGGGAAACCCAAACTGATAGATGAAATGTCTATTAATCATTTTAATATGAGCATTTGCTCCAAGAAAGAAACTTCATACAAGTTATGTTCAGTTTATAAACCCCTCCAAATAGAGGATTTAAGACAAGAAATTTTGAACGTGATTTCATTGCAGTATTACACTGAAGACTGGTGTAATATTTGTCAAAATGATGTAACAGTTTCCAAATACAGGTTTTGGAACCTTTAGCTAGAAATCCAGGTAATATTTTAGGGCCCACACAGTTAGCTTTAAAAATGTCCTTGAAAGGATGACTTGTCTTTTCTGACAAGAACTTCTACCCTATGTGAAATATCTTATAAAGATAGATTATGACTAGCAGGTCACCATCAAATAGTAACATTAAGAATATGTAAGTCTACATTTGTAAAGGTTTTTGCATGCAGTTTTGTCTTACACATTGTTTAGATGTGTGAACCAAATGTTTGTGCCTCAAACACCAACCAACTTGAAATTACAATATGTAAGTATATACATATATGATGCTGTATATGTTTAGTATCATAGTAAATATAACTGGTATTAAATGATACTAGACATGTGTAGGACCATAGTTAAATTCCAGTTAAGAAAAAAAGCCAGAAAAAATCATTCTTCTAACAGTATTTCACAGTAGAAGGAGGCAGTCCTTTCTCACTGACTTCTCCCCCCTCAGGATTTGTAAACATCATAGCTATTACTCTATCAGTATAATAATTGAATATTTTATTCATAATGGTAAGTAACTAACCAACATGAATAAAGTTGTCATAACACAATAACACTTTCAGACAAAACAGTTATTTATTAAAAGAAACATTTATAAATACTTTGTCTTGCATTTTAAACTACATTTTTCATAAATAACAATATTTAAAAGTGCTGAATATGGTAGGATAGTCAGCAACGCCACTGTAAACAGATTTGTTTTCCACTTTGTAGATTTTTTTTTTTAGATCCCATTCTGTCAAACACTACAACAGTTAAAATAGTTGCATAGGGAATAGAGAATAGCCCTTTTAATCATCTCCTGAATTCTATATAAATTACAAAACCAAATGAGTTTAAGAAACAGTTTGTTAAATTGTTCTTATATATCCAGAAAAAGCACACAGGTTTCAAGTAAAAAGAATGACTAAAAAATTCCCCAACTTGCTATTTGAAGCATGTTCAATAAATTAAGAGAGAAAAAAAGAGAGAGAGAGAGAGAGGTAGTAAAATAAAGGAAAAAATAAGCCCCAGGAAATAAACTAATACCTGTTTCCTACCAGCTACTGTGTAGAGCCAGAGCAGCCTCGGTAGCAGCGATTTCAGCAAGAGCTGGCACCAAGGAGTAGCTTGCTGGTTGGAGCCAAGTTTGCTGGGGCTAGATTCCACTTAGTTACACAACTGTAAGACCTTTTGGACCCATCAAAAGCAATGGGAGTATGTTGTGTTTAGTCCTAGGAAAGTGAGAAGAACCTTGCCTCTAAAGTATTAGTACAAGACCAGAGCTGACAGTGTTAAATATATATATATACAAACATACATACATATATATATTTAACTAGCGTTCAAAACATTCTCATGGTTTATCTTTAGCAGTTTGTGAGGGATGTGAACACTCATTTGTCTCATATATGGTAGGTATGACGATGTTGGTTTTTTTAAGTTCCAAGTCATTCTCTCTTTAAACATCAAAATGCATCCTAAAATTGGACATTTTTGGATAAAAAGGCCAAGCAAACACTTACTAAAACCACCATGGCAGAAAAGTGATTGGAGAACTGCGCTGCATTAGCTCTCATTTAGGGCTCAATACAGGACTCTCTACCCAGGAAAGATACCCGTTGAGTTTCAGTAGGCATTTTGCTTGGGTAAGAACTGCAGATTTAGGAGCCCTTGAAATTTGGTTTAATATTACATTCCAAACTCCTTGTTCTCAAGGAGTTACTCAAAATCAATGAGGCCAGAAGCTAAGTCTTCTTTAACCGACCACCTTGTAAAATATTACTTTGCTTAAAAACATTTTTTGACTGGATTTAGCCTTAAAAAAAAAAAAAAGAAAAAAAGAATCTTACAGGACAAATGCAATTCATCAAAATGTTCTAAAATGCTCTAAAATGCTACATGTAGGCAATTTTTTATTAAATTTCTTTATTAAAAAAAAAACTGAATTATCAAGCTTTCTGTGTTTGTTCTTTTTGTTTTCTTTTTTCTTTTTTTTCTTTTTTTTTTTTTTTGCTGAAGTACATAACATTATACAACAGTGTTAGAACTGGATAGCCAGTCTTTAATAAATCAATTACAGTATCTGACATCTGAAATGTACATTGAAAATCTTTGTTCTTTTAACAATTAAACAATATCAGCGCATAGATTGTGTCACCCAGATACGGATCCCTTTTAGTGGTTTGTGCTTTTTTTTTTTTTTTTTTTTTTTTTTTGACACTGCAAACTCTGTAATGAAAATGCCACAGTTTTGGCAGTGAACAACCAGAGGAATCCTCCATGTGATTTATTTTAAATAAACAGTGATAAATAGCTCTTTCTTTTTCTATACAGAAATATTGGCTTCGAAAAGTCAGTGTATTGTACTCAGTAGAGCATGTTGAGTAATGCTACACCTTAAAAATTGGCTTTTTTCAGTTAGTGATGTTAAAAAATGCAAGCCTCTTTCTGGTTTGCTGCAGTTGTTTCTATGTACCATTAGACTGTATTGCACAAAAAAGTTCTTAAATACAGATATAATTTATGTTATTGGATTAAATATTGCAACAACTAAGTGGTAAGTGAAGCAGTTTTACCTTGCACATGCAGTGTGAGGATACACAAGGAGACTGTTCATAAAACTACAAATACATCATTGCAATCTTGACTGCAGTTGGGTGAAAGGGTTGTGAAACAAATGTATTTTGGCAAATCCGTTGTTTGCCTCCCATGCTATTTCAGGCAAGGAGGACCTTGGTAAAAACGTAGACAGAGACCATAGTATGTATTTGTTTTCTTCACAGTAGCCTGAGTAGAGCTAAAGTGTAGTTCTCCAGGAACCCAGCTCCAGATGTTAATAAACTACTTTTCTTCTGTCCCGCCCACCCCCGAAAAGATTAAGTTATTTTATTTGAAAATTAAAATTAAAACTAAGTTTCAGAAGTAGAGCCTGTAATACTTTCAACAAGAGACTTATAAATTTGAGAGTTCAAGAACCTTGGGAAAGAGTCTCTATGCATTAAGGTGTATATCTGGAGTTGGGCATCTTCATACATATGAGGACTGGGATCCAGCAAGTTTCTGTTGATCACTTCTCTCACCCGGGAGTCAAGACTAACCTGAAGAAGATGAGAACAGATGGATATTATATAGTAATGTTGGAAAGGTTGTATAAATCTCTTTATTTCATATGGTTCGTTGAACATGTCAGGTTCATTGCTTTATTCAAGGTATATTCTGACTTTCAGAGCCACTGTTCTAAAATGCACACACGTGATTTCAAACTCAGATGATTGACTTTATTTCAGTTTTGATGTGGTCTTTGCATCCATCTTAATAGCTGTAAGATGAAATACCTCTATTTAACAATACAGTGCTACTAAATAAAGTTCTGCAGTAACCTGGATTTCCCAAAATAAGTTATTATACATTGAAACGTTTTACTTTTTACATATTTAGAAATATTTCTCAAAAGGAATGTTGAATGACCCTTTCCTGGAGAGCTGAAATGTTGTTGTTTTTTCTGATCAGTAGTGCTTCAATATGTAGAAGCTTCCTATTCAGCATTCTCCTCTGAATGTGTCACAGACTATTTTTTTTCCATTTTTTTTCATTTGCTACACTTATAACTCACAAGTTAGCCAGATTTTTTTTTTTTTTTTTAAATTAATCTCCCCATTAATATTAGATATTTCAGATTTGCTCTTCTTTTCGTCTGGGAATTTATACTTACAGGTTGTCATGTATCCACACTGAAGTTGTTAGAAAGTTTCAGTTTTAACTTCTAATTTAATTTCCTAGTCAGAAAATGGCATATTATGCTTGGGAAGAATGCACAGATGATTTTAGATTATCATTTAGAAGTTGGAGTGGATATACAGCTTACTAAGCTCTAGTAAAAAAAATGTAGTAAGAAAATGCTCTGCAAACAATAAAATTAGTGCTTTCTGGATTAAGCAGAATGGCTATAGCAGGGACCAGCACTGGAACCAGCAAGGGTTTTCTCATCTAAGTAAAACAATAGAACACCTACTATAGAAATACTGAGCAAGGATGAGCTAAGCTACTATGATTTAAACTTGATTATGAGGAAAACACACATTAAGATTTAAGCAATTGCTTCCCTCTGACATGCACATGCAGGCACATATCTTAGCGAGACCAGTTCATGAGGCTAGCCAATTGATTCCTCATTACCAAGCAAAATGGCTCGGACAAGAAAGCTCACATTTGGCAGGATAGTGGTGTTTCTTTGCTATTGAATACTGTAAAAATTAATTGCCATTATAGAATGAAACAAATTAATTATGGATCTCTTAATTCACATTGTAGTTTTTCAGTGACTCACTAAAGCCATATGGCAATACTAATTGCAATTATTGAAGTTATCTCTTTGGTACATAGATGTGTACAAGGTATTTGTTTAGCATATCCTGCCTCAGTGATTTCATCACTGAACAAGGCTGAATATTTCAGCTCCTATGCCAAAGTTTCATCTGGAATAGGATGCTGGAATGACTGAGAACTTTAAAGCATTCTGATCTAAAGCATTGCAAACTGTTCTCATTTGCCTCATATGGTTTCCAGTAGGGGCAGGAGCAGTTGGGTTGATGACATCCTTGCGTGTACAGGGAATGAAGTTTGTGAGCAGTTTTCTTAAATCCTAAGTCCAAAAAGAGTTTTTTAGTCTTAGCTGCTGGTTCCTATTGGCTTTGGAAGACAACAGGGCATATAGTAAATACGTGTATACTAGATACACATATATACTGTCAGAAATACAGTAGCTTGCTGTACTCACAGTTATCTCACTTCAAAGTTAAAACATACACTATTTCACAGAGAATGTAAGGGAGTTTTAAATGGCTGTGGGTTTCCTTCATAAGGATGAAATTGCAAATTATTACTAAAAACAGTACAAAGGTAAAATGTAGCAAGCAAGGTCCACAAGTAAGCATAAATTAACACACACAGAAACAAAGAAGAGTTGCTAAACGTGACATAGCCTAAGAAACTCTTCTACAATGCCTGCATATTTATTTATCTGTCTTTTGTATATCTATATATTTGTCTGTTCCAAACTGTGATTTGATGCTTTTACTCCACTCCATTTGAAAATCATTTCAGTTGGAGGACTGAAGAAAACTGTTTATAATTTCCTGGATATTATCACACTTTTCATTAGAGGAAATATGTGATCACAATTCTTAGACTATTCGATTGTATCTAGGAATAACCAAAGCAAATTTTGCTTCTTTCCCCAGACAGCTGTTGCACCAGATAAATCTGTTATTATTCTGACTTAAATCCCCCTGTGTTGTACAGGACACTAATTGTGAATCTATTCCATGATTTAAATACCATGTTAAATATTATTTTATTTGTCATATGTTGCTGAATATTTTGGCGTCATTTCTCCAGAAATCCATTTTCATGATGTACTTCGTGTCTGTGGCAGGCAAGCTGCATTACTAAAGAAGCTTTCCTGTTTCTCACCCTTCTGTTTCTGGAATTTCCCTTTCATTCCTCTTGTACAGAGAGCTTTGAGGAGTTGTGGCCAGTGATTCTAAACAGCTTGGTCCTTATGTCAGCACATGTTCCATCCCTCTCTTTCTCATTTAATCTCCTATACTGAGAATTGCTCTCATCTGACAGATCAGGCAGACTTTTCGACCCTTTCTGGCAATCCAGATTTAGCATGTCTGCTCTGGAATAGGAGAAGCCAATCAAACATTTACGGCTTTACCTCTTTTGGTGAAAGTATAGAAATGTAATCTTCATATATAAGTCTTGCTTTTTCTTCAATAACTTTCTTGTTCTGTTCCTTCTTTAGATCTTCACATGCAAGCCAGAAAAGCAGGTTCTCTTCACTATACTCTGTTCGAAGAAACTCTCTAAAAAGGTTCCTCCCAGCTGGTGTTTTCATCATCTTGTCAAAATTCTGAGCCCAAGACAAAATTTCATCTGCAGTAGGGTTTTGGCTGCAAAAGCAAAATATCATTACAAATATGTTTCTATTTTTGTAACAGTGTTTTCATACATTTGTCCAAAATTTATCCTTTCTGCTGCACTTCAGTCCAAAGTGAAAACCAGAATCAACAAGGCTTCAGCAGTGACAGGAGAAATTTGTTCACTCTTCACTTGCTCATTCATTATCTCAATAGCCCACTAAATGTGTTTAATATTAAGAGACATGCACTTGGCTTTCTGCAAGTTTTCTACTTGTGTTCACCATCAGACTAAAGAAAAATCCAGTGACAGAAGTGAATTCCTGCCCTGCAGTTAAAGGAGATGTGAATTCAGACAGCTGACAGTAGGTTCTCTGTCCTGTCAGGCTTGAGGGACACCTCATGTCTCTGCCTGCTTCTGATAAGATTTGGCCAATCTCTGCCTGCCACACAATTTGGTTCAGCAAAGACGGGAAAAACAAAAGGTTCTTGGCAGTCAGGAGCATACTAATGAAGGCCAACAAAATAGTAATTCAGAGAGCTTTTAAATTAGCATATTTCTCTGTGCTTGTACCTAAGGGTTGCTAAGCTTCTCTCTGGTGCTATTGACCTGAATGATGATTTACTGGCACAAGATGTGATGGATGTTTCTGGCAAAACTGGAGAGAGAAGAAATGGGAAAAAATCCTTATTCCCATTTTCTGAAGGAGGCTATTTACAGCTCATAACAGCGGATGCACAGGATGAGTGAATGAACAGAAGACCAGTCTTTGCCACCAATCCATAAGGTACAAATGAAAAGTCTGAGAAGGTCATACTCAAGTTACTTAACAAGAGCTAAGCATGGTTTCACACTTAACTCTGAGTGCTCATCCTCCCCTTCCTGATAGAATACAACACAAGAATTTTACAGTCTGCTGTTAACACTGTCTTTGTAATCATGTTGCACAATAAGTGACATTTGTCCATATAATTTTAAGTTCATTTTTCAACTGATAGTCTGCACGCAAGACAGAGTGGATGTCAGGAAGCTATTTATGACACTTTTTTGGCAGACTAAAAGATCTAATAAATGAGAAAGGATTTAACATTTAAACTAAACATCAAAACAAAAAAGTATAAACATGCAGATTTTATGGTGAAAAGTCCTCTCTCTGAGGAAAGTGAAATGAACCTGCTGGAAAGGGTGGAGCTGGCAAGCAATCCATGTTGCCTAGTTATCAGTTTGGAAAATATCTTTACTGCAGTTGGATGAATATAAAAATATATGAAAAAAATACAGAATAAGGCCATTTTGATTGAGTTTCATCTATTAAGATGTAAAACATCTGTAAGGTATATCATTTCATTAAAAACTGATTTCCTGTTCCCCCTCCAAAATGCCAGTTTCCTAAGGAGATTTGTGAATAACAGCCCTGTGGTATACAACTAGATTAGCTTAAAAAGAGAATCATGCAGAATCTCCAATTTGATAAACTAAGTCTCATTTATGTCTAAATAACTTATCTTGATCTTGGGAAATAGGAGAAAACTCCTTTGTTGAAGTCTTAAATTTGTTAGACATGAAAGGCAGCCTAAACAATGCACCAGGGCAGTGTCTAAATGTTCCTTGTTCCTAGGTACATGAAAGAAGAGGTTAGCACTGAGATAGGATATTTAAACCTATGGATGTTCTCTCACCTGCTGCTCAGGTATAGCCATGACACACAGAACAGGCCTGATGTGTGCTGAGAGCAGCGCCAGTCAGTTACAACTGGAGTACATCATATAAAATGGGACCCTGAGGACAGGACAAGGGCCATTCTGCAGTCCTTGCACCCTTCTGCTCACACTTCAATTTTTTCAACAAAAACTGGCAGTTTCTGCAGAACCTACTAGCTTAAGAGCTGGTATAGACAAAATAAGGTATAAACACATCTCTTTACCCTCAAAGCCTTTGAAGTGGATCTGTGAGCAGCTGCACTGCTGAGATTATACTTGGCTCTTGTTTGAATTTTACCTAATAAATTCATATAAGTTTCACTAGCAGTCGATGGGACTATTTAGTCTATTGCCATAGACTAAATTCAGCTGGCCTATGTTATGATCTAAAGTTACTGGTTTCTCCAGTACCTTAAGTTATGCAAGATGCAGTTTTATAACATGGTCGAGGTGAATTAAATTATTTAGGATTAATTTTTACCTAAACGATCTCTTTACCTGCTACCTCCACCTCTTTCTTTTGAGCTGAATCAGCTCAGATAAGTATCAGCTGGGGTACAGTTAGTGGTGGGGAGGCAGAAGAGGAGGGAGCAGAAGGACAGCACAGAAGGCAAATCTCTGAAGGCAGGGAGCTGTTAATTCACAGCTTTGAATTAACCACGACTTCTTCATGTGAAGCCACACCCCTGCACTCTTAATATTCCACTGACAGACCATTCAGTCTTCCTTTCTTCTGCCTAACACCAACAATGATGTTGATAAACTCCCCAGAATTCAAGATCTGGACCATTAGTGAGCTCTTTCACTAAGCTTTGTACTTCCTTTGCATAGCAAAGCTACAAAGCTGCAGCGTTAAAATCTGCGAAACATTTAATCCCAGCAGGGAATGTCATGAAGTAAACAGATTCATCATGATGGAGTGCTTCTGTAAATTCTTTGCAGGTGACCTGAATTCCAGGGTGCTCAACTGCACTAAGTTCAGCATAAAACAACTGGAGGATATAAACAATTAAGACATTCTCATATAAAGAAAAAAAAAAAATCCATCAAGTCAGTTCGCTACATGTTCTCTGTCAGTAAGGGGAGAAGTCTATAGTGCTTTTGTATTTTGTGGAAGTTTTTTTATTTATCCTTTCAAAACATGAAAAACAATGGTGGTACTGAGATATTTTGTTTGTGTTGCTTTTAAATTCAATCATATCCTCCTGAATTAAGTTTTAATTTACTTTTTATGGGATTAAAGAACTTAAAGCCACAAGTTCAGCTTTTTTCCCAACACAACAAATATTTGCACAACCTTCAAACAGAAACAGAAGCTCAGACTTTCAGAATATGTACGCCTGTCTCTCAAGATGTGTGTTTCCTTAGACAATTCATGTAAAACCATAAACCAAGCTGATGTACAAAAATTAAGCATGTTAAAAATTCTGACTGTAAAATACACTTTTGCCCAAGTTATTTTTCCTTCTTGACTGGGTAAGTAGAAGAAAACGATTCCACAAACAGCAGAGGCCCATGGATCAATTTAACTGTTTTCACGCATCTTCTATTTCTCTCCATTGCTTTGTACTCATAAATATGAAACTGTCAGGAAGGCACTGTTAGCATTACATGATAATGTAAAATGATTTTGAATCATTTTAGAAGTCTAAAAAAAACAAGGCAAATTAGTTACAGGTAAATTCAAAAAAATTAACTGAACAAAGTTTCAGCAACTTACCATTCTTCAATGACTTGGATGCTTTCCATTTTGGTTGTATGTGTTGGCCTTCCCGCATTGTCTCCTCTATCTTCATTCCTAACAGTGAGGCTGCAATGTAGTACAACACTTTATTTTGTCTAGAGAATGTTAGTTTAAAACAATGACTACAATAATGCAAACTTTCAAAAGCTATAAACATATTTCAAGTGTAATTTTTCACTCTTACCCCTAAAATTTATACCCAAATTTTGGAGAGAAATTTTTCGACAACAATTTTTTCCTGTAATAATGGTGAATATTAATTAACATGTGTTATTAGAATGTATGATTTTTTAAAAAACTGACAGTTTATCCATTGAAAGTTGGACAAAAAGTCAGAGATCATGTTTTGAGTGAGTTTACTTAGTAAATCGTGAATAATGTTAGTAGATAAGAATATCTGAACTGATGAGATATTGCTATTCCACCAGTTCTTTATGAACATTCCCTTTTTCGTCTCTTGGATATGGAGTCAGTAGATGGCTTGGATACAGAACTTAACATGTGGCATTTCCTTACAATTTCATCTAATTCAAATTTCTTTTTCATTCCAAAATATAAAAGTTTCCGTCCTTTCAAATGAAAGGCTTCTGTTGCCCTCATGTTATTAGAAGCAAATCTTACAAGAAGAGAGACTTCCTTAATATGAGGTGTTTCTTGTTTTGTTGTTGCCGACTTTGAGCTGGTAATTTGCATCACTTACTTTTCTATGAATGCTCTCTATGCGTATTCTATACCATGGTACTGACAGAGAAAAAATGCAGTCCCTAATGATTACTGAAATAATGTGCATTTTGAATAACCTACGTATTCATATAGGAACCGTGGTTCCAATAATAAAGCTTAAGAAGTGGAAAATAGTAAGAAGGTAACTTCCCTTAACTGGGTATTCCCCAGGTGTTCAATTGAGAGAAAACAAGCAGCCAAGCAAAAAAAATCCTCCCTCTCAGACCCAAGGATGCTCTAATTTTTAATATCTAGGTTCTATCATACAGTGATGCTCTCAATCATTCTAAGCAGAGATATGCAAAAGTATGCTGATACTGTAAAGCTTTCCCTCCTGCATTAATCAGAGTAATTTGTACTCAGTTCTAAAAAATCCCAACTTTGGGACATTTTTAGTACAAATGACTTTTCTTCTAGCACCTCTGCATTTCTGAGTTTTATCAATATGTTTTCAAGCATCTGGCAGAGTTAATGGGTGATCTCAACTACTTTTTGAAAATTGTCAGTTTAAGCTCCCAGGTAAAGCAGAGCACATATTAAGACTTAAACATTACAAAGATGTAAACTTCTAAATAAAGCTGTTTGATGCTTGCTGTTCCTTCACTTACCTGCCAAGACCTTAGTTCAGGCCTTTGGTCCTGCTTCCCCTGTTACAGCGTAGGAATGCAGCTCCAGTGCTGCTAAGGTTTTAGGATGTCATCAACTGCTGCAGGAGAAACAACACATCCTGAACTCTGGGATTGGCAGGTAAAAAGCTCTTCGATCTCCTCTGACCTGATGTTTGTCTGTCTATAAAGGGAGCACCCATGGAAAGCGATGGGAGTTCCATATATAGAAGGAGAGTAAAAGGAGCCATTTGCTTTCTGTCTTGTAATCTTTAAGTCCAGACATGTAACTGCTTAGGGTTCACTTTGTGTCTCGGTGGAGCACAAAGTAGGGCTGAGAGAGAAGCAGAGAAGTCACAAAGCTGCTCTCCCTCCCTCCTTTGCAGTCTCCAGTAGAGCCTCATTTGTGTTTTCTGCTGGGTTGGAAGAACTGTCAGTCCTTTAGTCCCTGGAAAAGAGAGACAGTGGAAGGAAGCAGGAAACAGCTTGTGTTCTTTGGGAATGTAACAGGGTGTTTACTTGAGTCTTAGAAGTGGCTGCCTGTTTTCTTTCTCCTATCACATAAACAGCAGCTAAACTGCGCTGAGTCGATTGTTGCTACTGCACAGTAGACTTATCTCAAGGTTTGGATGCAGAGTCTTACTGGAAGTAGAATGTGACTCATGTGAGAGCAGTAAATCTACCCTCCTAATTTAATTTGATGTCTGGGGTCAGATGCTGATTGTTGTGCTCATGCAGAATCTCTGCAAAACTTTGGAAAACCAATATGGGTGGATGAAAGGGGAAGACAAGTAGTGAGTGGTAAACAAGAAAGAAAAATAGATAAATAGACAGGAAATCCACGTTGACCTCATTGTACTTTTTATCACAGGAGTAATGGAACAGTCTCGTGCATCTGGATTGTCTGGAGGGTTACATGTTGGTAAAAAGTTCAGATAGTGGGTCCAGAATGCATAATACAGTTTTCTGGTAGATGGATCTGATTCCTTTATCTCAGCATTTACACTGTAGGCCAACGGTTGGTTAGACAGTGCTGTGAAACAGGGAAGACTCTAAAGAGGTGTTATATTTGGTTGGAGCAATTTTTCAAATTCAGGTATTGTAGTTAAAACTGTGCTAAATTTGTAATACACCACGGACTAAATTCTGAGTTATGTTTCTAGTGACAACCACTAGTCCTGTATTTTAATTCCTATTTATCTACATCTGTCAAGACTGGAGTTCCATCGGATACATTTCTTTTGATATGTTTTTCCTGTGAAAAAACCATCATTTTAACTCAGTAGTACATTCAATTCAGACATGTTCTGTTTCCACTCAAGGAACTGGTTTGTGTTTGCTTAGAAAAAAAATTAAATATTTACACATTTTTGACTGTAAAGCTAACTTGAAAGCAGCCCTTAAATAATACTAATCACAGTAACACACTGCTACCTTTCACATCAAAATGACAACATGGCATTGTTATTTGCTAAGTTGCTATCTTCAGTTGAAAATAGCCCATCTGCTCACATTCCCCTGTGGAATTCAAGCAGTCCTCAGTGGGAAAGGCACTCTGCATATCCTTCACACACAGTTCCATCATGGAAGCTAGCTGACTATAGCAGAAGAATTATGCTGTCTAGCATAGCAACTAAATATTAAAAGTAACAGGACAGAGATTAAAAAATGATCTTGGATATTTAAGGATTTAAGAAGAGGAAATAGTTGATTTATCTTATAAAAAAAGTAGTCAAATAAAAGGGAGGTGTTTTAGTTATTTTAACACATCTGTTTTAAAATAACTTACATGGTGTCTGTTATTATTTATAGTACATCCAACAGATATCTTTAGAATTTAGAGACCTAAAATGTCCATGATAAAACTAAAACAAAACTAATGAGGCCTTAAAAAGTGAAAATTTGAGATGTTTAAAGGAAGAGAATAAGTAGAAAGCACAAGCAATGGTTTGTTTTCTGTTCCTTTGGAAGGTGTCTTTTACCCAATTTTATGCTTGTTTTATTGCTCTGGAGAGTGTGGTAAGAAGTGTTTCAGTAAGCCCAGGTGACCTGATCTTTATGTAGCTTTCAAATATATCTTGGGTTCCTGACTTTTATAAAAGCAGTAGATGTTTTAACTTCTGCAGATGTATCATTATGGGTAATTTCTGTTTGAAGTCAGTGCCTTTGTATTGTGCTACTTTAGAAACTTTGTAAGTAAAAATGTTTTTGAACAGAGACAGTTTGAAGAAGTATACAAATTGAAAACATAACCACATATAAGGTTAAACTATTGGGATTATTCACCTGTTCATATTCATGTTCAGCAATTGAACAGTTGTTCTGTTGAATAATTATTTCACTAAATCATGAGCCCATTGATGTATGGTAAGTAATAAAAGCCAAGCTAAGAGCAAAGATCTCATTACCTGTCCTCAAGGCATTTCCATCCATGGGTAGAACATTAAAAGTTGCCTAGCTTCCCTGCTGCTGCACTTACCTCTACTGTCAATAGGAAACTAAGAATTATTTAGATGCTGGACCTCATCTTCCATTTACTGTGTATCTAGTATATTAATAATTCTTCATTGCTTCCCAAAGCTCAGTGTGGCACACATTAGTGCCTATATCTAGTGAATCAGTGAAATTGCTGTTATGGCAAGAAAACTTCCATAGTGACAGATGCTAAGACTGATATTAGATGTGTATGGCTACCAACAGTTACTATTTACTCATTATATGCATCATATGCAGTATATTATCACAACATTTTTGCAACAAACTAATGAACCAAAACTTTTCTGGCACTGAGAACACTGTCACGATGAAAGCCCATACCCTTAGTAGCCTTTACTGTGCTGCCATGAAGATATGCAGTAGAAATCAAACTGGGACGTTGTGGTAGGCTATTGAGTTGCTATTCAGGAGATCTTTGTTCAATTCCTAGTTGTTTGTTGAAGTTTTTAGTTTATTCTTTTGCTGAATTTTTTAGCTTCATCTCCAGATCTTTGATTCCTTTACTTCTATTATAAGCATCTGACATAAAATATGTTATATGAACAGAAACATATTTTTCCTATTTTTAATTTAGATGGAGAAGAAGTTCAGACTGGTATCTCCTGTTATTTTTGGTTGTGCATCACCTTGATCAGACTTTCTACAACACTTTGGTTCAATACTTTGGTCACTGAAAAATAAGCTGTTTGCACAGCTCTGTTCATGTGCTGGAGCACAGGAAGTCCTGCACAAATGTGTGCAAGAACTTCTTTATGGTGAGGGTGACGGAGCACTGGAACAGGCTGCCCAGGGCGGTTGTGGAGTCTCCTTCTCTGAAGATATTCATCTTGCCTGGATGCCTACCTGTGCGACCTGCTGTAGGGAACCTGCTTTGGCAGGGGGGTTGCACTCGATGATCTCTGGAGGTCCCTTCCAACCCCTACAATTCTGTGATTCTGTGTGATTCTGTGCTGCAGCATGATCCAGTGGAAGTCAGAGATAGATGTTGCCCTGTGATGCTGTGTAGCACTAAAGCAGACAACTATACTGGCACTCTTTAATTTCTTTATGAAACAGAATTTTTTCTTTCTGACACCTTGTTTTTCTAGTAGATGGAAACTGAAGCCTGAAGGCATTGGAGGCATGGCTGTGCTTACGACCAGAGTGTGAATTTGCTATATTGTATACATTAATAATGATGAGAAATAACAGCAATATCTTCATGATTCATTTGTAAAGAACAATACAGCTATGTCAATCTCA